GTGGGATGGGGGAATGTGGGATGGGGGAATGTGGGATGGGGTCCCTCACCTGTCCAGCAGGACCTCGATGGTGAGTTGTTTGTATCTGTGGGGATGGTCAAGGGAAATGTGGGATCACAAACCCCTTGGAGCTGGGACAAGGAGCGCCAGGCACTGCCCAGACTCCGTGAGCCTCCCTGCTCCGGGATGGGGCACCTGTGCCAGGTGTGGTGAACGTGGGGGTCTCAACCCTGACCCCCTTCCATGATTCCCAGGTGTGATGAGCATGGGGGTCTCAGCCATGACCCTTCCATGATTCCCAGGTGTGATGAGCGTGGGGGTCTCAACCCTGACCCCCTTCCATGATTCCCAGGTGTGATGAGCGTGGGGGTCTCAGCCATGACCCTTCCATGATTCCCAGGAGCGTCCCAGCCCTGCAGCCCCAGCACCGAGGGGCTCCATCCCCGCTGGAGAGGCCCCTCCAACCCCGATCCCACCCTGGATCCCATGCCAGCCCCTGCAGCTGTGGATACTGGGTGAAGGTGAGTGGGATGCCGATCTGGTAGTCCCGGATGGCGTTGAGGACCCGCAGGTCCTGGCACATCCGCACGAAGCTCTCCGGGGGGAACTTGTCCAGGAAGCACTTCCCGAAGGAAGCTGCCTGTGGGATCAGGTGTGAGGGGGGAGGGAGGGAGGATCTTCGGCCTGCCCCTCCTCCCCCTCGCCCTGGCTCACCCTCAGCAGCGATTTCTGGGTGTGGGGTTCGTGCTCGTAGCCCGCGGCCTCGATGCACTGGCCCACGGCCTCGGGGAGCAGCTGCTGCTCCCGGATCTCCCGCAGGTACTCGTCGGCCTTCTGGCTCTCCTTCTGCAGGGACGGGGAATGGGAGACCCCCAGGAAAGGGGGACACGGAGCTCAGGACGGACCCCCAGGAATGGGGGACCCCTGGGAATGGGGACACAGAAGGCTCAGGAAGGACCCCCGGGATCCCCCCGCTCCCACTCCAGGAGGGGGGATGTACCTCGTACTCCTTCTGTGCCTCCAGCAGCAGAGCCCCCGGGGCCATGGAGGCAATCCGGAAGATTTCCTGGCTGGCCTCTGTGGGAATTGGGATCAAACACACCTGAGAGGCTGCTCTGGACCAGGGGTGTCACCTGCACCTGCTGGCACTGGTCCCACCTCCCTGTGTGCAGCACCAGGGAGAGCCCAGCACCATCCTGGTACAGGGACTGTGCAATGGGTTGGGTGGGAAAGGACCTCAAATCCAGTGCCACCCCGTGCCATGGGCAGGGACACCTTCCACTATCCCAGATTGCTCCAAGCCCTGTCCAACCTGACCTGGACACTCCTAGGGATGGGGCAGCCACACCCCAGGTGCCCAGCAGGGATGTGCCCCCCAGCCCATCTCACCTGGTATCTCGTGCAGGAACTCGTGGGAGGTGCGGGACAGGATCCGGACCCCGTCCAGCTCGGGCACCAGGTGGGAATCCTCATCCAGGACAAAGCTGTGCTCCCGCTAAGGGCTGGGGGGCACACGGCTCCGGGGGCAGCCCCAACCCCCCCACTGCTGAGGGACCACGGGGCTGGGAGTGCTCAGAGGGGAGGGTCCTTTCCTCCCCTTTTCCCTGCCAGGATGGGGCCAGGTATCCCTGTAAATACCTGTCTCTGGGACAGCAGAAGGAAGGACCTGGGAGGGAGTGGGGGGACTGGGAGCGTCCCATGGGACAGGGAAAGGGCCTGGGAGCGACTGTGGGGGCTGCAGAGCACTTTGTGGGGGCAGGAATCCCCCAACCACCCTGGGCAGGGCCAGTGCTCCCACCACAGGGAGTGGCACCCCCAGAACAGGGGGGCTTGGAGGGGTTGGGGGAGCTTTGGTGCTCCCCAGGAGCAGGGAGGGGAGAGGGATCCCAGCAGCACACGGTCACTGTCCTGTGCCCACCCTGGGGGGCTCCGGGGGGACCCCCGGGGACAGCAGTGACCGTGGCAGGCAGGAGTTCGGGCTGGGCTTTGGGAACATCCCCGGCCCCTCTTCCCAAAGGATACCGGATGCACTCCGAGGAATTCCCCACCACCATGAGCTGCCGCTCCCAGGCCACCACCACGGCTCGCTGCCGGCTGCGGGGCCGCGTGCACCTGGGGGACCCCACCCATGAACCCTGTCACCCCCACGGCTGGGGGGACACCAGGGGGACCCTGGGCACTGCCAGGGGCAGGGGTGGGGCAGGGACCACCCACTCACCAAACCATCTGCTTGGGGGGGGAGCGGACGGTGCTGTTGAACTCGCAGAGCTTCTCCTGGGGGAGAGAGGGGGGATCAGGGAACACACCTGGGCAGCTGGGGTGGGCCCCAGGAGCGTGGGAGCCAGGGATACACTCAGGGGAAGGACACCCCAAATTTCATTTTTTTTAAATCAAACTAAACCAAGTCCATTCTAATTCCAACTTAAGAAAATCAATACCAAGAAAAGAATTTCACTTGTGGAAAAAAAAAAAAAAACCACGCTACATTTCACATCTGGGCTTTGCTTAAGTCATAAAATCACTCATTAATTTTTTGCCTGATTATTTAAAATGTATCCCCACTGCTGTGGCTCCAGCAATTCAGACTTTGTACACTGCTGAACTCTCTCCTCAAACTTCCAATATGGCCACACTCAGACAATCCTTCCGTACATGATGCATATCATATGTTATATATTATATATTATATATATACATGGGCTCCTGCAGCCCTGCGCACGTGGGGGCCCCCAGTGCCCCCCCAGGCTCACCTTGAGCGTGGCCAGGCCCATCCAGATGTACCCAGAGTCGCAGAACAGGGCGAGGAGCCGGTGGTTGAAGGACACAGCCATGTGCAGGAACGGCCCTGCCGAGGGGCTCAGCCCAGGGGGAGTCTGGGCAGGACAGGAGGGGATGTGGGGACACTTCCTGGGGTCCCAGAGTGTCCCCCCTGGGTGGGGGGAACTGGGGAAAGGTCAGAGCTGGGGGGCCCTTCCCTCACCCCTCTGGGCAGGATGGGGCAGCAATGGGACAGCGGCAGGGAGGATCTGGGAGAGAGTGTGGAGGGCTGGGAGCATCCTGTGGGACAGGGAAAGGACCTGGGAACATCCCCTGGGACAGGGAAGGACCTGGGAGCATCCTGTGGGACAGAGAAGGACCTGGGAGCATCCCCTGGGACAGGGAAAGGACCTGGGAGCATCCTGTGGGACAGGGAAAGGACCTGGGAGCATCCTGTGGGACAGAGAAGGACCTGGGAGCATCCTGTGGGACAGGGAAAGGACCTGGGAGCATCCCCTGGGACAGGGAAGGACCTGGGAGCATCCTGTGGGACAGGACAGACAAGGGAAGGACCTGCCATGGAGCGTGGGGGCTGGGAGCATCCCATGAGACAGCAGGGACAGAGAAAGGACCTGGACACAGGGACAGGGCCCGCAGCACCCCCATTCCCACATTCCCATTCCCTCACCACACTGGAGCAGGAGGTGTTGTCCAGCAGGAAGAGCTCCGGTCCCACGGCCAGGAGCACCACGGTCACCCTGTCCTGGGACAGCACAGCCCAGCACGCTGGGGGCTGCTGCAGCCCTGGGGGACAGCGTGTGACAGGGGGCACAGGGGACACAG